ATAGGCAGTATTTAAATGCCTGCCTGGCTAAATAAATACATCTTTCCCTGTAACCCACAGCTATAAGGAAGTGATGGGTTTTTGTAAGTGCACTCTCAGTTCACGTGGGGTGATAGGGAGCCCCATCACACATGATTTGAGCATACAGCTCAGGACGCTCCTCAGTAATGAGCAGGAGCTTCTTGATAGATGAATAACTTTCCTGTGAAAATATGTCATTCTTAAACCACTAGCTTTGATCACTAGCTGTGTTCCATGGAACATAGCCCTTCCATGGAAGAGGCAGCCACATGTTGGTCGACAGCCAGCTTATGTCAAGTGGAGGACCTCCGGCTCTCCAGATGTTGCTGAACTTAAGCTGCCACCTTCTGGGCCATGCTTGCTGGGGTTAGTGGGAGCTGTAGTTCAGCAACACCCCTGGACCTACCTGGCAGCAAGCCAGCATGCCAAGTCCTCAGTCCAGGGTCAATCCACATGTCCAAACTGAAGCCCAGTGCCACCGAGATACTGGAGCATCCAAGCTGAGGTCCTTCAGCATGGGCAGCTAAGCAGACAGCACCTCAGCTCTGCTTTCCTTTTGTACTTTGCCTGTTGATTGCAGCATCTGGGCTTGACAAGGCATGTGACCCTCACCTGCTCCAAGCCTACTCCAGCTGAGGAATCACACATCTCCTTCCAGAGCTAGCAAGCCCCTCTTGGCTAGCTAGTGAGCTGGGCTGTGGGCCGTTGCCTACATTCTAGAGCACCCCACCTACTGCTCCCTATGCCTCAGAGCCTTCCATGTTTGTGGAGACGGTTCCTCTGGTTCTGATGATGGGTCCTGGTGCTCTGGTTCATGTGCACTGACCCCCATCCCTGCTCCATCCTCCGTCACCCTGTGAGTACTTCCTTCCCCTGCCTGCCCCGGTGGGTCCCAGTCCAAGTTACACACCTCGCAAGGATCCTCTGCCTCCTCCCCATTGACCTGCCAGTTCATGACAGATGATTTATTAGTTTACTTTGGTGGCCCTCCAGGTGTTGATGGACAACAACTTCCATTATCCTTAACCATGTGCTATGCTGCCTGGGCCTGATGGGAATCAGAGTTCGTTGGCATGTGGAGGACCAGAGTTTCCTTGCCCCTGTTTTAGTGGGAAGTGTTGCTTTAAACATACAGCCTTCTGTGGTTCTACAGAGCAGTGCAAAAAAAGGGTACAGCCGTACCTTGGTTTTCAAAAGCCTAGGGAGTCGAACGTTTTAACAAAAACTGGAAGTGATTGTTCTGGTTTCCGAATGTTCTTTGGAACCCAAACATCTGATACGACTTCTGTGGCTTCCGCTTGGCTGCAGGAGCTTCCTGCAGCCAATCGGAAGCCGTGCCTTGGTTCCTGAATGTTTTGGAAGTCGAACGGACTTCCGGAACAGATTCTGTTTGACTTCCAAGTTACCACTGTATCTGGAATGTGTGTAGTGATCAGAGCTCCCATATATTGGTGTCACAGAAGCTGGCATGCCTGACATCATAGTAGACTGACAGGGCACAAGAGAGGAATATTTTGTCCTTATTCATATATTTTTAATCAGATGTGCCCCCCCTGCTTAACTTCACCTAGCCTCTGGGGGTTTCCAGGGTCTCTTCAGTGCTGGGATGATGGGGTAAAGCAGCTGTTTTGGCTCAAGGCCAGTGTGCAAGAAAAGCGCTCTGCCCTCACAAAGATTGGGAGGAAGTGAGCAGGTTGAGGAAGGCAGCTCTGGGTCAAATTTGGCCCAACAACAGGAGTAGGAAACAAGGAAGTAGCAGGGGCAGGCGAGAAGCTGCAACTCTCAAGGCAGTGAAATAATGAAATCTGGGCTGGGAGACCAGATGTCTGCAGAGCAGCCTCCCCTCTAACTTGATGTCCTATAGGTACTTTGGACTACAACTGCCATTATCCTCAGCTAGCATGCACGACTCATGCTGCATGCCACTAATATTTGTGTGGTATTTATTTTACAAGGTTTATATCCCCTCTGGTTGCAATGGAACCTTGAAGTGGTTTACAAAACTAGCAAAACAAGAAAACCAACAGCAGAAACAAGTTTAAAGCAACCATTTAAATAAAAAATAGTTAAAATCAACAATACGCTGCAGAGCAGATGCCGACGTTGTACATATCTAGATAGGCTTGCCTAAACAAAAATGCCATTAGCTGGTGCCAAAAAGTGTACAGTAAAAGCCCCTGCAATCTCTGTCTTATTCTTGTTAAATAAAATTAAAGCAAAAACAGTTTTCCTGTCTGACAAGCACCACAGTTAAACCCTCATAGTTTGGGCAGGGAATACCATAATGGGTTTAACACAACTTACCACATGTGATATTTATTCCTCTGTGCCAGATGATTTTCTGCGGAGTACTTACCAATTCCAAGAACTCATTCAAGTTTATGTTGCTTCCACTATCTCACCAAGTCAGCTAATGCTATTGATAGATGCAGTTGTAAAATGTTTCACAGCAGATCATAACACATTAGAAGAAGAAAAAACCAACCACATAGACTGAATTTCCAGTGCTTCATTGAAAAGACTTGCTCTGATTAAAGTGCTGGTAAAACTACACCCTGTAGGGACCCACTTTCAGTCAATAGGACATATATCAAATCAGTCTGTTTTATCTATCTAGCCCAGTATTATCCACTCCAGGCATAGGCAAACTCAGCTCTCCAGATGTTTTGGGACTACAATTCCCATCATCCCTGATCACTGGACCTCTTAGCTAGGGATCATGGGAGTTGTAGGCCAAAAAACATCTGGAGGGCCGAGTTTGCCTATGCCTGATCCACTCTGACTTGCAATGGTTCTCTAGGGTTTCAGGCAGAAAAGGATCTTTCTCAAGAGCGACAATCTGATCCTTTTTAAATAGGAGATGGCAAGGTTTGAAGTGTAGACCTTCTGCATATGAACCCTGAGTGTCACTCCTGGCAGAGCTGTGCCCCCTCCCAAACTTTCAATCTGACACAAAGAGTGCTAATAATTGGTCCCATCAATGCTATTATAGCAACATCATATCACTTTTAGAAGTCATGGCCTCACCCCCAAAGAATCCTGGGAAGTGTAGTTTAAGCAGGCTGAGAGTTGTTAGATGACTCCCCCTGTGCAGAACTACAATTCCCAGAATTCCCTGGGAAGAGGGAGGGATTGCCAGTTAGACCACTCAAGAGGACAGTAAATATGTACAGCAGTCCTATGACACATTCTTTCCACAAAGAGCATGGTCAGTGAGCAACAGGAAGATGAGTTTAAAGCTCTGCTGTTTAAAGGAGTTGCCTTCTTCTTTCAGAGCCAGTGTGGTGTAGTGGTTAAGAGCGGTAGTCTTGTAATCTGGGGAACCGGGTTCGCGTCCCCGCTCCTCCACATGCAGCTGCTGGGTGACCTTGGGCCAGTCACACTTCTCTGAAGTCTCTCAGCCCCACTCACCTCACAGAGTGTTTGTTGTGGGGGAGGAAGGGAAAGGAGAATGTTAGCCGCTTTGAGACTCCTTAAAGGGAGTGAAAGGCGGGATATCAAATCCAAACTCTTCTTCTTCTTCTTCTTCAGTGGAAAACAGCCTCATAACTGTGAAACAATTCTCTTGAACCAACCAGAAGCTGCAGTAAGAATGTTTCATAACAGTGATTATACTCCTGCTCCATCACCCATGCGTCAGTTAAGGCTCACCCACACCTGCTTACCCCATGAAAACCCACACTTCACTTCTGAATTGGAGCAAACATCTATCGGGTTTTCTCTGGATTGGTGTTTGCTCTGAGTTAGTGCTAAAGACCAGGTTTTTTGGGGGAAAGTGGTGGATCAAAGGCAAAACTGCATAGACTCATGCCTAGAAAATGTAAGACAAGCAGAAAGAAGTGTGGAAAAGACCTTACTCGTAAATTGTCATCCAGTTTGAAATGCTTGGTTGTTAATGTTTGTATTACAGTGTTGGCTTTCGGGTTTTTTACTGCTTTTGTGTTGGAGGCTGGGTAGTTACAACACATCTATATTTCTCAGCAAGAACATTTAGCAAGCTATGATTCACTAACGTCTTTTAACTGAAGTCAGTGGGGCGTTGAGTACCTCCGGAAAAAGAATACACAGTGGATTTCCCCAGGAAATAAGGAAGAAGTAAGCCTAGAATAAACACGAGTCACTTCGACAATGTTTTAATTTTTCTTTTTTTAGATTTATGGTTTTCAAATGATGCTCTGGGCAACCCTGGGGTTTATTTATTGTTATTGTTTGAGGTTTTTCTTAAACCCCATCCTCCCCAGGGCAGTATGTAAAATATATAAATACAAATGTCTCTCCATCCATCCATCCATCCATCCACAATTACAATAAAACCATCAAACTCAAACAGCCATCACAGCATAAAATGGTAAATGGCAGCAACTAGCGGTCAAAGCAGTCCTCAGATTATGGACCAAAGGCTTGAATCTTATTGACTTTTTAAAAGGCAGGGAGACAACCAAATTTCCCCAAAGGTAAATTCCATGCAGAAGGTGCCACCATAGAGAAGGCCCAACCACCACTGCCACTTGCACCAGTGTCATCAAGTATTTGGGGCCCAAGCCATTTACAGTCCCAAGCCTTTCTTGAAAACTTACCATGTTTTTCAAAGGAAAGATCATTCTCAGTACACAAGCTTGTCTACGGTTCCTGATCTTTTCCTACATTACACAGCCGCAGCAGTGGATGTTCTCCAGGGAGAGTGCTCTTGCTTATGGGATATCGCTCAAGAAGTCTGGTCAAGGTCTCTGAAAACTGACCAGGAACCTCAGAATATGCCCTATAATCTCCCACAATGCACAGCAGCAGTGGAGCAGTTAGGGTGTAGGTCCCACAGCAGACGAGTCAAGGCAGAAAGGCTTCGCCCTTCATTAAGAGGGCTTGAAAACAACTTCTTTAGAGCAATTCTGCCAACTTACAAAATCAGTGATCTTGTTCTTCTTTCACAAAGGTAGTTTTGACAGATGAGAGAACATGTATAAAGACAGTAAAGCTGTGTGCACTTTCCCCATTTTTTTTTAATATTTATGTATTTTTATAGATCCACAAAATGGATCTATAAAGTTTCCACTGAGATGCAGTGTAAAAGCAGTTTTTAGAACTTAAAAAAACAACAAGGGTGTCATGTAATACTTTCACTTGCCAGGCTTCCCCCTGACCCACCCACTCCAAACTTCAGTCTAGAGTCATGTAGCAGTGACATTTCAGAAACAGGAATCCCAACTTTTAGGAAAACACTGCAAGATCTTTATACGGATGTTTATCAATTCAAAGATGTGGACCTGCAGGGAGCAGATATATTTGGATAAGGCTGAAGTCCCAGCTGTTTGTTGTCTTTCAGTTTTTGCACTATGACTCGAGCAACTTCCTCTCCTTGGCTGTCGGTCGTGTCGAGCAGCTGCCTGACTTTTGAGGTCCTTGTAGGTTTTGTGCTGATAAGTTCATAATCCTCTTTCATGATTAAATCCCTTGAAAGGAGGGCGTCCAAGGACTGGTTAAGGCAAGCCTCCGTCATCTGGTTGACTATGTCTTCTCTTCTGGTTTGGATCCACTGGTGAGCCACAGTTTCATCTTGCTGCTCCTGCCGCTGCAGAGTCTGCAGAGTCTGCAGCATAAAATCTAACAAAGGGCAGAGGGGAGAAAGATGTCAAAGGTGTGAACGCATACAAAGAGCATCAAAATGCAGCAGAACTATTTGAGAGAGAATTGCCTGCATTTCAAAATACCAGAATTATTTATCTGTGTCATTTCAACAGTGCCAAATCAACAAAAAACTCTAAGCAGCTTGCATAAAGCAGTGCAAAATATTCATAATAAAAAAATACCCCAGATCTGAAAACCAAGTACAGTTGTACCTTGGAAGTTGAATGGAATCCATTCCAGAAGTCCGTTCGACTTCCAAAACATTCAGAAACCAAAGCACGGCTTCTGATTGGCTGCAGGAAGCTCCTGCAGCCAATCAGAAGCCACAGAAGCCCCGTCGGATGCTCGGCTTCCAAAATAGTTCGCAAACCGGAACCGTCACTTCCAGGTTTGCGGCATTCGGGAGCCAAAACATTCGAGAACTAAGCTGTTTGAAAACAAAGGTACAACTGTAGACATAAAATTTATCAAAATATGAAAACCTCCAGCATTAAACCAAACCAAATATGGTTAATAAAGCTGCATATCTGGGTAGGCCTGCCTAAATCTTAAGCAGGAACTGATAATGAGAGTGCAAAGGAGTCTGCCTAATGTTTATAATTAGTATTATATTAGTCAACTGAATCAATTTACAGCTTCATTCAAATAAATCAGATAAGACTCTTGTAGAGTTTTATGTTTAGATGACTAGGATTCCAATCTTGATAACTAAACATTGCTTAACAGTCATATTCTCAAAAGAAATACATGCATTTACAAGTACATACGAACTCCTTCCTGCACTGCAATTCTTTCCCACCTGTAACAGTTTCTCTTTTAAACCTCTTTTTGTTTTATATTCCCTTGAATTTGCAATGTATTTAATGATGTGAATCAAGTTATCAGAACACTAATAATAATGGTTTAAAGAGATGCACAAACCAGTTATTTTGCAGACATATGCTGCCCAGTCCTCCCTGCATTTATTCAGAAAGAGGTGTTTAATGCAATTTACCCCCCCACGGTGTTTAATGCAATTTACCCCCCAGTTTGCAGAAACAGCGGCCACAAAGTAATAAACAGTCCATCCCCAACTTACAGTCCGAAGGACTATTTAGATCAGAATGTGGTTAAGTACAAGTCATTTGTGGTACGTTCACAAGGAAGCTTTGAAAGGGAACAGTTGCAGAGTAAAATTTTCTGGTCAGAAAAACTGTCCTCAGAAACATAATCAAAGAGGCAAACGAGGGAAATGCGGGTGAATTTGCATAAGCTGCATCAATGCTTTCATGTTCAGAGACCTGATTTAGCTGTACTACACACCATGCTTCATGGCAATATTACTCGATACTCAAAGTGATAAAGTGAGATGGAGACAAGGAAAATGAAGGTTTCCGCTTTTGTACCTGAGTTACTTCTTGGTGGCTGACGTGGGTATGGCGTGGAATTTGAGGAATCAGAACTATCTGTGGTGGACGAGCAGGAGTTTTGTTGAGATGCATAAGACGGAATAGTTGATGGCAGCGAGCGATTTTGCTTCAAGCTAATCAACGAGTGAGGTTCATCCAAAGAGTCATATTTACCTGTAATGAAGACAGAGTGGTTTGTATGTTTTTTCAATTTTAAATTCGAATCACACCAAAAACAAAGCCAGAAGTCATTTTGCATCCAGTGTTCTGCAGCCCAGATAGGAGAGCTGAAAAAAATTTCACATCTGGCAAGCAATGCAGATGTGCACATGGGTAGACGAGTCTAAAATGCCTGGGACCACACATTTTCACGGCCATTCTAGCAGCTATGGTGCCTCATTTACCAGGATTTATATTTTGCTCTAGAAGGCTTAGTTTGGTCAGAATCGAGTATACACCTCTAGAGTTAAAGCCAAACGTATTATTATCAGCCACCATAGCCACTAGAAGGCCATGAAAATTTGAGTCCTGGGCTTTTTAGACTCGTCTACCCTTGTACTAGGGACGCAGGTGGCGCTGTGGGTAAAACCACAGAGCCTAGGGCCTGCCGATCAGAAGGTTGGCGGTTCGAATCCTCGCGACGGGGTGAGCTCCTGTTGCTCGGTCCCTGCTCCTGCCAACCTAGCAGTTCAAAAGCATGTCAAAGTGCAAGTAGATAAATAGGTACCACTCCGGCGGGAAGATAAACGGCGTTTCTGTGCGCTGCTCTGGTTCGCCAGAAGTGGCTTAGTCATGCTGGCCACATGACCCAGAAGCTGTACGCCAGCTCCCTCAGCCAATAAAGCAAGATGAGCGCCGCAACCCCAGAGTCGGCCATGACCGGACCTAATGGTCAGGGGTCCCTTTACCTTTACTTTACCCTTGTACTATCTGAGTCATGGAGTCACATCAGTGTAGATGTGCCCCTTTGCTTTGACCACGGTCCACAAACGTGAGGCCGCAGCCCATAAATGGAGGAGCTTGCCAGGACTGGCCCAAGGTGTGGTGCTCCTCCAAGCTGCAGTGCTGGACAATTAGAGAGATGTGGCTCCAAATCCCTTTTATGTCACGCAGGAGGCTGATTCTAGAATAGTTTGCTGTAGCTGTGCAAGATCTGGAATCTGCATCCCATGAGCCTTTGCAACACTGAGGGAGTTTGGGGAGGGACACTTAATGCGTTACATGCTATATCACTGGTACCTCAAGAAATAGTGCAGGGGTCAGCAAGTTTTATCTTGCCTGGGCCTGATCAGTCCCGCGGAGATCCCTCCATGGGCCGTGATTTCTAGCATCTGCGTGTGCACAGATGCGATTTCCGGCGCTGCAGGGGTGAGTCCCTGTGCCGCGCTGCGCCGATTTAGCGCAGTGCGCAAGCGGGCAGCTCATGGGCCAGTCAAATGACCTCCGCGGGCTGCTTCCAGCCCATGGGGCTTAGGTTGCTGACCCCTGAAATAGTGTGGTCTGAAGTTTTGTGTGGCTGGGCTGACTCCAATCTTTTTCACTCAGTGCAGTATGATGACAATGTAACGTAGCAGCGAGAATGAACACCCAATCAGCTTGTCCAGATACGAACAGTCAGGACAAACCTGTTGTAGCTTCATGACCCCCAAGCTTTCCTTCATATTTCTACTACTTCTTCAACGAATTAGTATTCCACGGATCCCTTAACAGAGCAGACGGAGGCTGTATTCAGGAAGCGCTTTAACTTTGCTTTTCTGACATTTCCTTTATCTGATTATATGTAATCTGTCACATGACATAAACGCCACTTCTGGAAATCTTGCAAAAGTTTAGCAACTTGTTTCCATGTTGCTTTGAGAAAGAAAATTGTCTGGAACCCTGTTAACATGGAAAATAATGGGATTTGGGTGTGTGTGTGTGTGTGTGTGTGTGTGTGTGTGTGTAATGTTAGTCCCTACAGTTTCATGCCATGTGATGAGATTCATTCTTCACTGTTGTGGGTGAATCATGGGAAGGGGGAGAGCAAAAGCATGTATGGCCATGAAGGGTGAAAATCCTTGTTTGGGACAGCTGCATATCCCTGCACTGTTAGGGGTTGGACTAGATGGTCCTCACGTTCCCTTCCAACTCTATGATTCTGTGACATGTCAAAAGATGTCCACTGTTGTGTTACGCCACACCCACTGGTGTGAATGAAACTCTGTACGTCATCACAGTATATTGTCCAAAAGGTAACATAGTATAAAATGAGCATTAGAAACCAGAACAGCATTATAACCCAGAAAACTAATATGATAATCCCCATGTCTGATGGCACCCTTGTTGTCTGTTGTCCCAGAATGTCGGACAAGAACCAATGGGTGGAAAATGCAGAGAAACGTATTTAATATAAAGTTGTGCTAGGTCAAGAGGGCTTACCTTCCGAGAGGAGATTGCACTGTTTCGATGTATCCCGGACAGTGTTTCGTGAAAGGTAGCTATCACATTGCGATGAAGAGTCCTGGAATGATCACAACATATGGAGCAAAAATTCGATAATGGTATTTACATTGCATTCCTCCCCTGCAAAATCTCCCACCTGAAGCCCTATGAAGGGATTATTACTATCCCATTTTAATACACAGCACATAAACATAACTTGATGTATACCTAGAGGGTGGTATTCAACTGCATTTTAATCAGAGCAGACCCACTGAAATTAACGAGCCTGAGGTAGTCCTGTTCATTAACTTCAGTGGGTCTACCCTGAGTAGGACAATCAATGGATATAAACCATTATTATTATTATTATTATTATTATTAAGTCCTGTCCATTAATTTCAAAGTGCAAAGCTTTGTTGAATACTGCTCAGAGTTCCCTATTGTCTCCCAGGTAGATGTAGACCAGAGTTGGGCCTGCTTTGAGTTTAGCCACAATACTGTATGTATAATGTGCCTTCACGCTATGCCCTTGCAGGCGGAGGTGGAGAACTGGATCTGGCTGGCTCCTTCCTTATCACCTCCCCCTACCCTGTGAGCTATGTTTCACAGGTAGGTGAATGACATTTTACCCCATGTGGGCAATCAGCTGGTTGTCAGAGCTTGCAAGGATCTATGCAAGGACCTACGTCGGCCAAATGCACAACCATATTTGGGCCAGATGTGTCTTTACATGTCCCACAGCTGATATGTCAGGTGTAGCGCAGGTGGGCATGGCTTAGCCAAACAGCCTCACAGGCTAAATGGCTTCCTCATCAGAGACCCGCTTGCTACAGATGTTTGCATCACACAGTCAGTCCACTTCAGGGGTCACCAAGCTTACCAAGTGATGGGCTGGTCCACGCTCCATCCGTTGGAGGATGCACCCGGGTTGGAAGAGCGCCCGTGCGCATACGCACAGGCGCCATCAACCTGGAAGTTGGTCCACACACTGCGCTGGTAAGAGCCAGTGGTGGGGGGCGGCAGGGGTCGCCATATGCCGGATACACGAGCCCCGTGGGCTACTACCGGCCCATGGGCCTTAGGTTGCTGGCCCTTGGTGTACTTAGTGCAGCCATGTCCTTCACTCAACACAGGAGCAAAGAAGGCCCACAAAATAGAGTTAATGCACAAAAGGAAAATGATTTAACACATGCAAAGTGCTTTAGAGTATATTACATGGTCCCTTCCAACACTACAATTCTCTCCGTTACAGAAATACTAAGGCAATAATAAAAGAAACGGTTGCTTTACCTCTTGCGTACTGGGATTTAAAGGTATATTTAGAGATATTGATTCACCATCGGTCTTCTTGCTAGACATATGAACACATCGCCACTCATATTCAGCCTGAAAGAGACATTAGGAGGCTTGTATCAGTCACCTTTGGAACTGTGAAAAGAGGATACATTCTAGGTATACAATTTCAAGCTTCAGTAACACGGCCATCCTGTTTCTTTGCGTGGACAAATAACTTTCACTTTGTGTATTTTCACTTTGGGTTACAACGTAGACTTACTTTGGCTTTCTTTAACTGTATCACTGCTTGAAGCATAGGTATCTCATCAAAGGTTCTCAGCACGGGTTCAAGCTCTATTAAGCACCCTAGGCAAGAAAAGGGGAGAAAAACCACATTCAGTCCTATAGTATTAGCTCTTATAACAGTAAATTACTGAACTTTTGAAATCACATTTGTGGGGGGAAAGCGAATTAAGGGCACACACCATAAAACACACTGTAAGGATGCCAGCCCCCTGAAGAAAATTGCAGGCTTAAAAATCACTACGCAGACACAGATCTGGGATATTCAACAGCCATGCATCAAGAAGGGTTACTAACAGATTTATTTATAGAGGCAGGCTATCGGCATGTAAAAGTCGCAGCTTTCAGGCCTCCTACAACTGGGGAGACCAGCATGTCAATGTTACCTTGGCTTTCTGTTTGCACTGCTCTTTGAGTCAGGAAATACCCAGATTTCTATGGATAAATTTATTTTTTGTTATGGGCTGGAAGGAAATAAACAACGGACCTGAGAATGTAGTCCTTTGAAATATTATTAGTTAACTAAGAGAGGGGGAAAAAATCATAGCAAGCAGGACTCTTTGCATCTAGTGATGCACTGCAAGCTATTAGCTATTAGCTTCAACCAGAGCCAGGGCTTTTTCAACTCTGGCTCCAGCCTGGTGGAACGCTTTGCCTCATGAGACCAGGGCCCTGCAGGATCTGATTTCTTTCCGCAGGGCCTGTAAGACAGAGTTGTTCCGCCTGGCCTTTGGCTTGGAGCCAATTTGATTCCCTCCCCCTCTTTCTTTTCCCTTTTTCCTTTCTCCTCCTGTGAGGAGGCTGCATTTTAATATTTTAATGTTTCAATATTTTAATGTTGTGTTTTAATCTTGTTTTTAAGTTGTATTCATTCAACTTGTTTTTATTATTGCTTGTTAGCTGCTCTGAGCCCGGCCTTGGCTGGGGAGGGCGGGGTATAAATAAAAATTATTATTATTATTATTATTATTATTTGCTTTCAACATTGTGTCTACATTCCACACAAAATGCTTTCTGCTCTAATAACTTTTTACGACTTAGCATTAAGGAAGCACAAACTTAGCCATGATGATGTGCTTCCTTCCTCCTCGTGCAGCTAGCCAAGCCCTAGCAAATAGCAGGGGGGCTGGGAAACTAGCAAGCTCAATGCTCAAGTGGCCACACAAAGATCAACAGGATTTCTGCCACTACAGCTGGAGTAAATCTACCTCAAGGCACTGATTTCAAGATCCCTGACCTAGAAGGTGGCAGCTAGTAACTGGCCAGCCTCCTTTTATTTTTTACCAGGGCCTCATTCAGAGCCTAGGACTTGCCAATCAGAAGGTCGGCAGTTTGAATCCCCGCGGCGGGGTGAGCTCCCGTTGCTCGGTCCCTGCTCCTGCCAACCTAGCAGTTCAAAAGCATGTCAAAGTGTAAGTAGATAAATAGGTACCGCTCAGGAGGGAAGGTAAACGGCGTTTCCGTGCGCTGCTCTGGTTCGCCAGAAGCGGCTTAGTCATGCTAGCCACATGACCGGAAGCTGTACGCCGGCTCCCTTGGCCAGTAAAGCGAGATGAGCGCCACAACCCCAGAGTCAGCCACGACTGGACCTCATGGTCAGCCTCCTTTTTTTTATACCACTTTAACCGTCATGACTTCCTCCAAAGAATTATGGGAAGTGCAGTTTGTTAAGGGTGCTGAGAGACCTCCATTCCTCTCCTACAACTACAGTTCCCAGAGTTCCCTGGGAAGAGGGATTGACAGAAGAGAGAGGTGGGAAAACAGTAGGCTCTCCATAAAGATAATTGGCAAAAAGGCACCCAAAAGGATCAAACAAACTCTGGAATTATGAAGCCAGAGCTTCATTTATGGTACAGCTGCATATCTGGAAAAACAAACTGTCAGAGAACAGGCTGCAAATGGCTCAAGGCAAGACCACATTATTCACAAAATTTAACTTTCTGACTTTTGCCCTGATTATTGCAAAATGAAGGGAAGTAGAAGAATCTGGTTATTTCAACGTTTCAACATCTGACACCAGACAAAGCTTTTGCTAGCAGCTGCGGAGAAGTTTTTTTTTTAAAAATGGGGGAAAGCAAGATTTAAAAGATGGTTCTTGGCAAGATAAAAAGGTGTATAACCCAGTTAAATCTTACAGGCAGAAAACTAAAAAATAAAACAGAAGCGGCAGTCACCTGAAAGCTCCTATATTGAGAAATCTGAAAGATTAGCTTATTCACTCTGGGCAGCTTACAACACATAATAAAACATCAAATATTAAAAACCCGATACAGGGCTGCCTTCAGATGTCTTCTATAAGTTGTATCTGTACCATAAATGAAGCTCTGGCATTCACATAACTCATGCAAATCATACACTGTAACTGTAATAGATGCAAATTTGGGTGGGGGTCACAGACACTTGGCATGCTTCCAGAACTGTTCTGGCTGTATAAACACCTTACATTTAGATAACCCAAAGAATCACAGGAACTGTATCTTTGCTTGTTCCAGAGCTATGATTCCCAGCACCTTAACAAACTACAGTTCTCAGCAGTGTTAGAAATTCCCTGGGTGCCAGGTTCATTTTGCTTCTGGTGCAGGTCCAAGTGTGGAGATTTCTGGGTGCCCTGCTGGCATCAGACATCTCCACCCAGCCAGTTTAAAAACCTCTACCTTAGTCCACAGTTAAAACCATTTCCATTTCCACTGTGTGTGTTTCTCCTTCTCACATACTGGGACAAGTGAATAGTAAGAGCAAGCTACAGTCAAGCAAAGTGAGATCATAGAATCATAGAACTGTAAAAAGGTAAAGGACCCCTGGATGGTTAATTTCAGTCAAAGGCAAATATGGGGTTGTGGCGCTCATCTCACTTTCAGGCCGAGGGAGCCAGTGTTTGTCCACAGACAGCTTTCCGTGTCACGTGGCCAGCATGACTAAACTGCTTCTGGTGCATGGAGGACTGTGACAGAAGCCAGAGCACATGGAAGGCTGTTTATCTTCCCACCACAGCAGTATCTATTTATCTACTTGCACTGGTATGCTTTTGAACTGCTAGGTTGGCAGAAGCTGGGACAGAGCAATGGGAGGTCACTCCGTTGCGGAGATTCGGACCCAAGTGTCATCTAATCCAACCCCCTGGCAAATAGACATTCTGCTGTGCCGACCATAACCAAAGTTTAAGCATTTGGTGCCTAGCTTATATGTCCAACTTTCTAACACTGGTTCTTTGGATTCTTTGGGGGAAGCCATGTGCTTTAAATGCATGTGGAGTACACAGCCTAAATTGAGCAATCTCCTAATCACACAGCTTCCACTCACTGCCAAGAGGGGCTTAGGTGGAGGGCAATAGTTATGCTTCAATGAAATTAACAGAGATTATGCAGCAGCAGGAGAGTTTAGTGCCGCCTGCCAAGCTCCCTACCCTGCTATGCAAAAGGTGAAGCTCACTTGAGAAAGAAGGCCTTTCATCTGGATTTTGCCCCCAGCCGGATTCCATTAACGACAGCATCAAGGCCCGGTGAGGAATGTCTAGCGGAAGATACTCGTCCCCAGTGTCCGGACGTTTTCCTTGCGACACGCTATACATAATCTGCAAGGGGTTTATAACATCTGTCAAAAGTAGATATTGCGCACTTATTAGAAATATGTGTACTTCTCACGCCGTGGCAAAACAACAACAACACACACATCCCGTGAACACAGAGACAATGTTGACCCTCTTAAATTATAAGATATTGCTACCAATCCTCCCTTCCTTTCCAAGTCTTCACAGTGTCATTTATTTAACCAAAGGGGAAAAACAAAGTCATTATAAGACTTTGTACATTACATTACAAGAAAGAATGGTCATTACAAAAAGCAGTAATAATTAAGGTTGTATCTAACGCTATTCAGAGAAGACCCATTATATATGGCCCTATTCAGAGCAGACCCATCACAATGAATGAAGATGACTGCATTAGGTTCAATGGGTCTCCGCTGAGTAGGGCAAGCACTGCGTTATTTCAAGGGGCAGGTTCCTCCCGATTGCTGCATGTTAAACCCAATCTTGCTGATTCTAAACGGAAGTTATGCAATGAAACAAAAGAAAGTAGTCTGACCTTCAAACGGCTGCTTTCTTGACAGCACTTCCCACATAATAATGGCATAGCTGTTCAAAGTGAAAAAAGAAAATAATTACAACATAAATGTAAATCAGTCCAGGACAAAATATACTCCACCCCCTGGTAGGCTTCCAAATGTAGTAACTGAGGGGAACAGGCTACAAGGGGTACAACCTGAAGGCAGTTGGAGAACACAAACATTATGTTGGAATAAGCACTCAGTGGCTGTTGCCCTTCACAGCTGCAACCTGAGGTATGCCTTTCTGCATATACGTGCAACTCAAGGGTGAATAATCCTGTGCAAAAGTAAGTACAAAAGAAAGTGGGAAGAGCTTATTCAGACATGCATGCTTGGTAGCCTCACTCACACAAGCCTACATGACTGGATGCTACAGCCATCTGCGAAGAAACATGCATGTGTGAACTCATCCTTCCAGGGACTCTGCAGCCATTCTAAACATTTGGTGCAGTCCTGCCACAGGAACGCAATTGGTAACACTGCAGATTGAATGGGTGAGATGCAAAACTATTATTTATCAAATTTGTTGACACCCATTTATCTGTAAAAATATTTGTATACCACTGTGTCATGCTGGCTTAAAACTTCAGAAATGAGTCTAATGTAATTTCAGATGCAATTGCAACCCTGAAGTAGTAGGAGGTTTCAAATTTCGCCATGTCTAGGGTGTGAATTTTGGCAAATTTCTTCAATGTGAGGGTCATAAAAATATATTTTTTGGGTGTGAGGAATTCAAACCTGATATTATTTTTGTGACTGGAAAACATTTCGCTTGGTAAATTTACAATTGATGAAGATGCACATAAACTGCTTTCAGAAAGCCAAAGAATGTTAATTTTACCTTCTAACTAACCCTAACTAATAATAATAATAATAATAAAATGAATAATAATATTAATATATAGTATAACTGCAAAGTACTTGGCAATCATTTCTATGCAATTTTACACACATTTTATTTACCAACCAAAACTGGATGATATTAATTTAACCAAAATATCTTTTGAATTCCAAAGTCATGTTACAACCTTTTAGCACCCCTCATTTTTTGAATTCGAAAGCTGAAAAATTCAACACACCCTATGATACACCCAATACGCCCAAACATGCAAGGATTTTTAAAGAACATAAACAACAGTGTGCATCTTTTCTTAACTCTGTAATAAAATATAAATACCTGTATATATCATGCTTTATAGTTGCACGCGTTTTCTGACTGAAATCATAATCTTCAGGTGGCATGTAGATAATAGTCCCTCCCTCAGGCATTGATTTCTCACCGCGTGACAGTGACATAGATACCATGCGCCACTTTGACAAACCAAAATCTGCAATCTAGAAGGAGAGAAACAGGAACTCGGGACAATCCACAAATATAGAACCCAGTGTGCCTGTCAGATACACTGGGATGGATGCCAATCAGGTATGGGGAACCCCTGGCCCCCCCAGGTGTTGCTGAACTTCAACTGAACTACAACTATGGTGTTCCATTTACCGTAAACATTCTAAAAAAATCTTACTCAGCAAATGGTGCAACACCCTTGTATGACCACCCAAATCCTTACACAGCTTTATTACTTCACTTTTCAAGGATATATTTAGTGCACGAGTCGCAAGACTGAACTCCACCCACTAACGTCCAAACTAACACAATGGAAACCATTCTTTTTCCCCCCTAAGAAAACATAGTTGCATTATAGATTGCCGCTTAATGAATAGCCGGACCAAATAAGTCTCCCAAATTCTTAAGCCACTAAAAGCAAATGTTTCTTGAGGCAATTTTGTGACCACAGTTCATTTTTTTTAATGACAAACCCCCTCCAAAAAACCAAGTTTCTAATCACGAGTGACAAGTATTGGTTCATAAGCATTTAGGCCCTGTCTGGTGAAGTCTCAGGCTTTTAGGGTTCAGCAATATCTTATAGTGATGAGAGAGAAAGAGTCATTCTTCATATCTTTGTGCAGCCTTAAATTTGTAATTTTGAGTAATCTCCTTCTCTACAAAATCTCACCCTCAACTGTTCAGCTACTCTCTATGTACTGCAGAGTAGGTGTGGCAAAAAGCAGATTAAGATCTACAGGTAGATCTCTAAGTGATTTGTGGTACATCAAGAATTCCTGACGCCCAACCATTTCACAACACCAACAGCAGACAACACACAAAGACACTACTGAAATGAAAAAAGCTAGGGGAACCAAGAATGGATTTGTGTGTGGAAGAACTGTGAGCTCAGTTCAGTTCTGGTATTCTTCACAAATCTCTGTGCTCAGCAGCTGTTCAGAGTGATCCTGCTCTTTAATTCTAAGGCTGTGTACATGCCGTACACTGAAAGCACACAACTCCCCCAAAGACTCCTGGGAATTGTAGCTGCTAAGAGTGCTATGAATTGTAGTCCTGGGAGAGGTAAAACTACAGCTCCCAGAATTCTCTGGGAGAAACCATATGCTTTAAGTGTATGGTGTGAATTCAGCCTCAGTGTCTTCTGCACAGGGCTCCATTTGACAGATCTTGTGAAACACAAAATAGAGCCCCAGAATCCAAAATGTGCCCTCCCTTGCTGTAAAGAATCACAGGCCCTAGAGAGAGAAACACGCTCATACCTTAACATGAAAGTCACTGTCAAGCAAAATATTATGCGTCTTCAAATCATGATGCAAGAGAGGAGGACTCATATTGTGAAGATAATTTACTCCCAAGGCAATTTCATAAAGAATGCGAAACCTCAATGACCAAGCAATGTCAGGATATACATTTTTCTATTTGAGAGAGAGAGAGAATGATGAAACACAAATTTAGGAGTAAGGCCACACAATTAAAATGATACCGTATCACAAAACTAAAATGACACTGAAAGGCGAAATAACTCATAACTTAAAAGCGATAAAAGCAACAGAAGAACCAGAAAAATGTTATGCAATGTGGTGGCCGTTTCTTCACTATGCAAATGAACTGGTCATAAGGAAAAACTCTCCGAAGCATCTTTGTCGATATGGCTATCCTGAACAGTATGGCTTGAGCTATATTCTATCTGTGATGGTTGTCCTGGGACATTAAATACTGGATAGTTTGGATTTTTGGATTTGATATCCCGCTTTATCACTACCCGAAGGAGTCTCAAAGCGGCTAGCATTCTCCTTTCCCTTCTTCCCCCACAACAAACACTCTGTGAGGTGAGTGGGGCTGAGAGACTTCAGAGAAGCCCAAGGTCACCCAGCAGCTGCATGTGGAGGAGCGGAGACGCGAACCCGGTTCACCAGATAACGAGTCTATTGCTCTTAACCACTACACCACACTGGCTTAAAAGCTCTCTGCCCTGCTTGGGGGGCCAAGGCCCTTTTGGTGTGCTGGCTCCAGAATACTAGAGATGTATGGATTATATGGATTATGGATTATTAATCCATAATATGTATGGATTAATAAACATCATTCATGTCAATATGCAACCCTGATACCTGGTATGGGAGGATGCTATGTTATGTATCTGCTATTATGCATTTTAATAAACCTCAATAAAAATTATTTAAAAGCGTACTTCAAACTACAAAATACTCCTTTAAACCACAGATTCAATAGCCCTTTGGAGCAGGGCTGGGTAACCTGTTACCCTTCACATTTAGTTTGGCTCCAGCTCACCCCGACCAGTGGCCAGGCTGACTGGGACTGATAAGAGTTGGTTTCCTGCAACATCTGGAGGGTGATAGGTTAGCCCACATTTTCAAGGGGGGAGTGGAACCTCCTGCCCACAACATGTTTAATCTGAGAGCAGGCCCTCCTTACAGGCTAATGCTGTATTTGTTTGACCAGCAGAAAGGGTCTTACGCCCTACTCAGGTGTTCAGAGAGTTGGGTTCAACTGAAGAGCACTGTCTCTTTAATTCCCCCACTCCCTCAGGAAAAAAAAAGCTGTGGGCTCAATATACTTACGCTGTGTAAAAGTTGGTTCAGTGACCCACTTGGCATATATTCCGTCACGATGCCCAGAAATTCAGGTTCGTTGCAAATCCCCAGAATTGGCAGAATGTAACTGAACCTTGCCTGGTGTAAAATTTCAGCTTCTTTCAGAAGATTGTCTCTCTCACTGCAGGGACAGGAAGAGAAGGACAAACCAGTTTTACCACATTTGAAGCTTGAAATATGCAGCTGTAGGTTAAAGCTCCAGAAGGAGTTCATTCAGTAGTGTGCTGAAAACCACACACTGTGAGAGGGAAGTAATGGCTAGGGGAAAACAGTAAATGAATACCAATGAAAATGCATTAACGGCCTTTCTGTACGAAATCACATTCAAGGTGGTCTGCAATCAATGAAGTTGAACTAATATCAAGGGTGCCTCCAGCAACCCAGTTATTGAGTATGTGTCCTAATCTGCTTGCACAAAACTCACACGGGTTAGATTATATTCAGACTTAACGGTGCACCAGTGGCGTGTGGTGAGATTTTTCATAGGGCTTTGAGAAGGAGGCACCAGGCCTCAGACAAAACGCTCAAGCATTCTGGCAGAGGTTTGGCTTAGTGCTACATGCAAACCACCTCTCTAGTTGCAGAGACTAGAAGTGGGTTGCACAGAAGTGGGTAGGACTTGTCTTGCTACTGGACTGGCATTTTAGGGATTTGAAATACAACAAATGAAAGCAGTTTATCTTGTTAAGTCACTTTTGGGACTTTTTCTTTAGTATAAAGTGACTGACAAACAGAAGAAGAAGAAGAGGGAAAGGATCGCCCACAAATACAGCGAGATCTAGTCTTCTTCTTCACCTTTTGGCATCCTTGAGAGGTTTGCATTGAGCAGAGTTAAGGGTTAAAGGGAAAAGGGAAAAGAAAACACAGCACTGAGTAATTCTTTCCAGCACTGCCCAGTCCTGCAAGAATGAGGTAGTGAAAATCCCCTGTCACCCATTAACCAAAAGCCACACTGCAGATTCACTTGACTAAAAGCACACTTTTCAATTGCACCTCCCCGGCTAAAACTACAAATTTATATTTAGCTAAATTAACAAAGCTAGCTAAATTTCAGATTTCCATGCACCTTCCTTCCTTCACAGAATTTAAGGCAGAGTAAGTGTGGTGACCCTCATGAGGGCAGTCTCCTATCCAGCCACTGACCAGCCCCAGACCTCGACCTCATGTGCCTTCAAGAAGCACTATTTTAAAGAAAAGCCAGGCAGAACATTTTCATGAACAAGTTGTGGTACATTCCCCACCACTAGTGAATATTTGCTGTTCGAGTTCCAGCCAGTCAGCCAAGCTCCCCTTCAGAATACTATAAGGGCCTCAAGCAGGAAATTCCTCTCTTCCACTCCCCAATTTCTGTTTTACTTTCCAATTCAACACTCATTATTTCACAGCTTCTGGAGCCCACTAAACATGTTTTTTGGGGTGGGACATTGTTCTCTTTTGATTTAAATAGTGGGTTGTTGTTTTTTTAAAAAACTTTTCCACACCTGAGGATGCACTTGGGCATTCAGATGCTTCCCTCTTATTTATCAGTTGCCCCCTTGGGCTCCAATCCTATTGCCACAGGGGTACTGAACTGGCTATTATTAGAGAGAAATAATCACTTCCTCTTCTGATTTAGGTTGGTCTAAAAAAAAATAATTATGCTCAGTGCTTCTCATAAGTCAGTGTTTCTTGAGCTTGGGTCCCCAGCCAGTGGCGTAGCGTGGGGGGTGCAGGGGGGGGCGGCCGCACCGGGTGCAACATCTGGGGGTTAGGGTTAGGGGGCGCAAATCCATGGGTTAGGGGGCGCAAATTACTTGCCTTGCCCCGGGTGCTGATAACCCACGCTACGCCACTGTCCCCAGCTGTCGTTGGACTCATTTTTGAGAAACAATGTCATTAAGTGCATGAAATTATTTCTAGGAATTACCTAATTCTTACAACAATGCTGCAATGCAGGCTATGATTCTCATCATACCACACATAGTACATTCAGTAGAAATAAATGACTTATTCAAAGCTGCCCATTGTGTTTGTGGGCAAGCTTAGCTTTCAAGTGAGCCCTTAGCAACATCACCCATGTTGGAATGGCTTCGCTACATGCTGCATTAATTGCATTGTTTGCAATTAATAGTTTTTTTAAAAAATTTCCAGCGGGACTGCAGTGTGTGTGTGTGTGTGGGGGGGTAGTTTAACCATTTCCTCACCATTTATAATCCCTCTATAATTGCTAACTGTGTGGGGTGATGGGAGGAGGAGGCAATTTCTATTGCAGTAATTCCTGGAGAGGAAAGGGCTAAACTTCACACATTGTGCTCTTGATAGAAACTGTCCTGCTCCTAAGATGAAAATAAAAATAAAAAATAAAACTTCTGATGTGGTTGCAAGGCACACAATTACTATGATATGTAATTAGGCCCATTAGTAATTACAATGTACTTTCTGCTTACTAGGATGTTGCAGGGAGACGTGTAATTGACTTGCACATCCACTGTTCACATTTCAACACCATGTCTGAAGAAGGATTGGTGCTTCTCCCTTGAAGGACAGTCAATTAGCTGCACCCATATCAAGTGGAACTGAAAGACTACTCACACATCACACTGAAATGGCAGTGTGCCTTTATGGCAAAAGAGCCAGTGTGGTGTAGTGGTTAAGAGCGGTAGACTCGTAATCTGGTGAACTGGCTTCACTTCCCCGCTCCTCCACATGCAGCTGCTGGGTGACTTTGGGCTAGTCACACTTCTCTGAGGTCTCTCAGCTTCACTCACCTCACAGAGTGTTTGTTGTGGGGGAGGAAGGGAAAGGAGATTGTGAGCCGCTTTGAGACTCCTTAGGGTAGTGATAAAGTGGGATATCAAATCCAAACTCTCTCTCTCACTGAAAGGGAAATGTCCCAAGGTCGCCTCTAACACATTACAGAAGTTCCCCATACCTTATAGAGCAAATTTATGGGATGTGTAGGGAAAAGAGAGGACACGAAAGCGCCACTGTGCAGCTAAAACCCCTTGCACTTGCAGACTTGTTCAGTAGGATACTGCCAGGGGTGGACTTCGGTAGTATGAGCAAGCACAAAATTTGGCACCCCCAAATGGATTTTCTCAGTTGTTAACCTTCTCAATTTTGCGCCCCCCTCGGTTCAATGCCCTATGCACTGCCCTAAATCCAGTGCTGGATACTGCCCTTAGTTTTTCAGGAATTTCTTCAGACTTGACCTAACTTTCACAGTTGCCACTTTCACTGTGTTGTTAGTTTTTATATTGTTTTTTCAAAGCATTCATTACTTGAGAAGCTCAACTTACACTGCCTACAGCACCCTCCCCTGCAGCTATGGTAACAGTGATCAATAAATGCTGAAAATTCAGAAACCAGACGAACCTAATATTCGGAATTGTGCTATACCATTCTTCCTTCATTGAGCTACCTTAAAGCACAAACAGCCACTCCTTCTCCATCACACACACCTGCAAATATTCCCTGCTTTCCTTCCACTGCTTGGCAACCACTAGCAAGTACATCTTTGTAATACAGGAATCTGGGCCATAACTATGGTGTCCGAGAGAAGGACAGGGCAACCTCTTCTCATTATTGCATAAGAATTCCTTCCTCCTTGCAGTTAAGGAAGGTGCAGGAGTTCCGCCTTCCTCAGCATCTGGTCATACAAGCCAGAAGTGAATTTACAAATGCAGTCAAATTAGACACTTCCCCAAAGTAGGGTTTTAATTTCACCATGTGTTTTGCAGAAGTCCTAAAGGCCCTGGTCTGCGGTTTCTAAGGAGTATGCACAACACAGTATATGATAACAATTTAAGAAATACTCCATCTAGTTGGGGACCGGATGTCTTGCAATAGGGAGGGTACAATTTTTTGCACCCTGGTATTAATAGAGCTACAACACTGAACTGATTACCAAAGAAAATGTACTAAAAATATGCCCAGGATTATTCAGTATATACCTCTCCAGAAATATTACCCCTACACGCAAATTCAAAAACTATGTTTATCATATCATAGCTCAATCAAAATGTCTTTAATCAGACTGTGGTTTGCTTAGATCTAAAAAGGCAAGCGCCTGATAATTCAGAGTATTCATTTCATCCTCATATGACTCCAGCTACCCATAATCTAGATTAATTTAAAAAGAATATTAAATACTCTGCACCTCAAAAGCATAAATACAGTAGGTACATATTTGATTTATTGTCACATACTGTATTTATTTTTTATTACATTGATATCCCATCTTTCCTCCAAGGAGCTCAACGTGGCATATGTTGTTTTTCCCCATCCCCATTTTATCTTCACTACAACCCTATAAAGTAGGTTAGGTCAAGAGACAGTGAATGACCAAAGGTCACCACAGCGAGATTTATGGCTCAGTGGGGATCTGAACCCTGGTCTGCAAAGATCTAGGCTAAGGTCACATTTGCATGATGCATTCAACACACATGGCTTCCCCCATAGAATCCTGGGCAGTTTTGTTTACCTCTCAAACAGCTACCATTATTTGCACCCTTAAACTGCAGTTCTCAGAATTCTATGGGGAAGCCATGTGGCTTAAATGTATGGTGGCGATATGATCAAACACTCTAATCACTACATCACAGTGAAATGTGTGTGACTGACTAGGCACATTAAGCTGAACTGACTCATCAGAGGTGAGTCAGGTAGGAACCATTTAATTAGATGAGTGTTGTTCTGCGGTTTCTCACAGTCATCAAGGAGGGTCAATTAATATACAGCGTACTTTTGTACATACCTTCTCCGCAAAAAGCTACAAGATAGCTTCTATTAAATTACCATCCCATCCAGGATCAGCTATTTAGATTCCTCCTAGTTTATTAGTAGTCATTAAATGTATGAGTTGCCCCATGCCAAAGTCTCCAGGTGACTTACAATAAAATTTATTTAAAACGTCCAATATAAGCAGTGCAGAGAATGCAATAACTTTAGCAAAGCAACCATAGCAAAAGAACCAGACAAACAATAATATTCCCACCTCAAGCCCAAACACACTTAACAACTACAGCGGTACCTCGGTTTATGAACTTAATCCATTCCGGAAATCCGCTCTTAAACCAAAAATGTTCTTAAACCAAGGCACACTTTCCCTAATGAGGCCTCCCGCTTCTGGTGCCCTTCCACCGTTCAGATTCCGTTCCTGGACCGAGGTAAAGTTCGCAAACCGGGACACTACTTCCAGTTTTGTGGAGTTTGTAAACCGAATCGTTCGTAAACAAGACTGTTCGTAAACTGAGATACCACTGTACTTGCTTCACGGTTTTCCCCAAAAACGCCTTATAGGTAATCCAAACAATGTTAATAGTCTACAAAAAATAAAGTATTTTTAGATTGCTGGGGGCTGGCAGAGGAGGCATGCAATTGCTGCATTTCTATGCTGGGTATTCAGAAGGGATGGGAAAAACCCCATCTCTTCTTTGCTAACCCACACACTTGAGGGCATGCAATTCTTTGCCACCTGTGGATCCTAGGCTAGTGCTTCAGGCTCCTGGCAGTGGCCATGCAGTCAGGAATCATGTCCACAACCCTTGCGCTTGTATTGGCCAGGGCTGCTGGTGGCGTGCATGTGGAGAAGCCGAGGGTGGGGAAACAAGTCTTTGAGGAACCAGCAGGCTGGCATATCAGAGAGGATCAGGTCAGTGCTGTTGCTGTCACGTAGTCAGCAAGGGAATCCCAGAGTTGCTTAACCACCCATTCCCACACAATAGGGAATAAGCTGGTTTTGAGTGCCTTAGCAATGACAGTACTAGTCATAAAGCCTTGGATGAATTTTGTTCAATCTGACTGCAGCTAAACAGCATCTCGCTGGGATCACCTAGGACATTTTCTCTGCGATTCATACGCAAGGTGAAGCAGGGAACATTCCTCCAGAACCATGCCTCTCTTAACTGGTGAAATGGGGGACGGAAAGGGGAATGAGATGTAGGAAGCCGCCTACTGTATAAAGGTAAAATTCACATATTACCCTGTCCACTCTTTGCTGCTGGTCCCTCCCACCATTTGCATGTGGCTCTTTGAGGGTGGCCCAAAAGGGAATACGACCCTCAATCTCAAAAACGTTTACCACCCCTGGCCTAGACTAATCAGTCCCTTGAGGGAAGATTTTGTACGCAGGGCTACCAAGCTGTAAGAAACAGCTATCATCAGAACAGATTCAAAGGTAGAGTTCCAAATGCATGAGTTCTAGAGTGCTAAATGCAAGATTTGTGTTTTGAACCGAGGAAGCAAGACAACTCCCTGGTCGAGTTAAGAAGATAAAGCTTAGAAGTTCCAAAATGCCCAAAGCAATGCCAATACAGCTGCAATTCAAACCTGCTTACCTGTGAGTAGGCACCACTGGACTGAGTGGGACTTACATCTAAGCAGACGTGGATAAGAAGGTTGAGTACTCAGAATAGAGTGCCTGCTTAAGTATGCATTGTAGGCCTGCCTTAAGTAGGTTTGCTCAGAAATAGGCCCACTGAGTTCAGTGGGATCCATCTTCAGAAGTGCTTGAAACTCCCATTATTCTAGGCGCATTTTGCGACAGGGGATTTCATTAGCGCAAGCAGTTACTGAGTTCTGGGCGCCTAAGATTTCAGATTAAAACTGCACAGTGGAAGGAAAGGAGGACCTTTTTCTGCCTCCCCACTCTCTGAAGACTGGAGAAGAGTCCCTCTTAAGAATATCAGGGGGTGGGTGGAAGGGCAGGGGAAGGACTAGACCAGGGATGTCCAAAAGGTAGATTGTGATCTACTAGTAGATTTTGCGGTGTCCGTGGTAGATCGCTGGCCCCTCCCCCCAAAAAAGCTCAACAACTTAACTTTGGCTCCCTTAACAAAGCTCAACAACTTTGGTAGATTACTGCCAGTTTTTTTATAGCGGGAGTAGATCTCAGTCTCTTGAAAGCTGGACATGCCTGGACTAGACCATGTGAAAAATGAACACGACATTTTAGCTGCAGTTCATTCAATTTCAGCTTTGTATTCTTGTTATAAAAAAGTGTGCCTAGACATTCCGTTGTTGCTCCCATAACTTAGGTTTAAGGTGCCATTTTGCTCCTAGCTTTTATATCTCAATTTCTAACACTGATTTTCAGGTAAGTGTGTTTAGGGTTAGAGTCCAATCCTCTATGTATTCCCAGAATGAAGTATTACTGGCTTCAATAGGACACCTGTTCAAGTTGCAAACATATAGGTGTAGACTTGGGTTGTCTGACAAGGATGTCTGAGTAAACACAGAGAGAACTGCTTTGGGTGTTGCACAATGTAGACTTCTAATCTCTTCTAAATAAAGAGCTCTTGGGAGAAGGGGCAGAGAGGAACCACTAGAATCTCTGAACACAGCGTTTAAAATCCAGTCAAATCTAAAATAAAAACAAGAAGACTAACCACAGGAAGTTGCCTTTATACTGTCAGGCACATAGGTCCAATCAGTTCAATATTGTCCAGATTGACTGGCAGGTCCCCCCCCCTCAGTGTTTCAGGCAAGGGTCTTTCCCAGCCCTGCCTAGTGATTAAACCTGGGACCTTCTGCATGCCATGGCCCTTCCAAACAGAGGAAGCCCTGCAGATCTTTTCATCCTGGGCAGAGACAATACTGTATTGACGAGGCTTGCAGCAGGAAGAGGGGGTGTGGTTCTTTAAACCAAAGGAGTGAGGCAAGGGCTAAGGGCAAAATAGTTGACAATACACTGGTCCCAGCAGAGAATGCCAATTCTGAGTAATGGCTTACACTCAGTAATGACTTGGACTAGAGAATCTTGGGGCCAAATCCCAGTGTAGCCATTATTTCAAACCATTGTCCTCAGAATAAAAGGGAGAGGGGAGGACCATGTTTTCTACCCTTTGTAGAAAGGAGGAGATGTTAGGAACACATGAACCTGCCTTATCCAAAGGAACCAAAATCCCATCTCGGTCAGTATAGCCCACACTGACGGGCAGTGGGTCTCTTGCAGGAAATGCCAGGGTTTGAATCAGGGACCTTTTACATCAGATAAAAAAATATTAAAGTTTCTCGATTTCACAGCTGCAGATGGGGTTGAGGCAACCAAACCACCCCACCCACCCGCAACCGTTACCTCTCTAGCAGGGGTCCCTGCAGGCACTTGACAGCCACTGGGATCCGCCAGTCTGCGTGGCGCGCAGAGGACACCGTGCCATAAGCGCCGCGGCTGATGAAGCGCAAGTCCGGGAGCTTGTTGGAGGAGATCGTGGGGAGCGTGTAGCTGATGTCGCAGGACGCGCAGCTGCCGTCGCTCCTGCCGCCGCCGTTCGTCCTCATGCCGGCGTCAGCAGCCATCAAGTCAGGCCGGCTCTGGCCTATGCCAAGTGCGCGCTCGCCAATCCCCGGGGCCGCCCAGGAGCCGCGGAGCCTCTTCCACTACAGTAGCCAAAGGGGGCCAAACGCGCGCCGCGTCTCCAAGAAAGAAGGTGGTCCTCTCTGGAACCCAGAGCCTCTAACATCCACCGAGATTTCCACAAGTTCTTCTGCGCCGGGCTGCACAATTTCTCCGCCTCACATCCTGCTGTCCAAGCGGCCCTGACTCACCCGTTTCTCTCTAGAGAGAGCACCGGTATCTCCACGTACCCGCGGCGAGCCTGCCAAATTCTACAGCTCGCACCCGTCCCTGCGCTTTAACGCCCAATTGTCACCCTTGCCAAATTCTCTCGCCATCGCACCCAAACGCCGCTCACCTTTGCTCTTTGCCCCACATTCACAACCATCAGCCTGGCCTCTTCAAACCCCACCTTCCGATGGAAATAAAGTTTCCGCCGGACGCGTCTCTCTTGCGCTTCCCTTCCCCTCGAACAAAAGTTCGGACAGTCGTAAAAAGTTCCAGATCCCTTCCTTTCCCGAGCTTTCGTCTGGAAGGGCTTAAGATCCAAAGAAACGTTGCAACTTTTTGGGGTGTTGTGTGTGTGTGTATAAACCTTTTTTCTCATATTTCCAGATGCACTGACGATAATCCCCTGGCACAAGGAAGCCACATCAGATGCGTTGGTGGTTCTCCCATCTTGGGAATCCTCCAATCTGCCTATGAAGGCAGAGGAATTCAAGACGATGAGCGGGGCAAGAATAAAACACGAGTGGGACCTCGGTCCGTTCTCCGGCTGCACCAACCACGCGTCAATGGCGACTGGAGAGCCCCGCCTCGACGCGCGCAACAACAACCTCCTCGCCCAGCCTTTCCAGAAGAGAGCAAGGGAGGAGGCGAAGGCTCCGGGCCAGAAGACTCCGCCCACCCAAACTGGGAAAACAACAGCCTCGCCATCCGGAAAGTCTGGCTCGTCCTGTGATGTGAGTTCAACGTTGCGTGCGGCCACGCAGGGAGAAGGTGAACATCCCACTCGCCTTGTCTCCCTTGGCGCTGTTTGAAACCGAGAGCCGGTCGCCCCCACGACACAGCTGCCGGACGCTTCAGGACGCCCCCCCTTACCTCGTTCAAAATAACTCCTATTTTTCTCTGTTGTCGAGCACCGATTCTGGGGAGAACTCACGAGCGCGCTTCCAAAGAGAATCCACTCACTTTTTGGGCACTCCTTGCAGACTGCGATCCCATCCCACGCGCGCTTTCAAAGAGTATGCGTAACACAGTCGGTGTGGCTGAAGTAGCTTAGTTAGGAGATCGTTCAACTGGAAGATTCAAAGCTCCCTGGTTCCATCCCGGGTTTCGGCAACAATAACTTTCATTTCCGGGTTGGGCTAGACGACTCTCGAGTAAATTTTCCAGCTCCAGAGTTCTATTATTCCTCCGAGTCGCTCCACTTGCAAGTTAGTTCCCTGAGGATGGTAAGAGTTTCCACAGGGCAATCAACGCGTGTTTACTCGGAAGTAAGAGTCACGTTTGAGGCCAACGGGGCGTGTCCCCAACCAGGTACTTGTGTTTTAGGATTGCGGCAGTCAAGTGCATTCCATGCTTACTGGGCAGTAAGCCCCTTCTAAGTAAGCATGCGGCTCCTGGCAAGCTTAGGCGCGTCTATTCAGAAGTAAGCCCCACTGAAGTCAATAGGACTTTTGGCAAGGTAAATCTGCATAGGATTGCTTTCTAACTTTTAGTTAAGGGAAAGTGTCTGTCCGTCCCCGCCTGTTTTTTTGGACCAGCGTTTGTTTTTAAATCTTGTTCTTTTCAGTATTTTTTGATAAAGCAGACACTTCATTCCTGCTGAGACCGCTCAATATTTTTATCCCGAATTAGAAGCAATCAGCGGAGCATCCTGGAAACAGATGAATGAAGTTCTTGTTCCCTCTCTGGGCCTGGTTTTGATCACATGCACATACCAAGCTTGGGAGGAGGAGGGAAGCATCAGGTTCCGGAAAAAAAAAACATTTGGTTCAGACCTAACATTCAGTGGGAAGTAGCAATGTGCTTTGTCTTCTAAAGAAGGTGGAGAGAGTAGACTTTAAAATAAAAATGAAATCAACCTGCCTCTAGCCAATAAGCAAGTATTTTTTAAAGTTTCCAATAAGTAATACTTGTTGTTGTTTAGTCGTTTAGTCGTGTCCGACTCTTCGTGACCCCATGGACCAGAGGACGCCAGGCACTCGTGTCCACTGCCTCCTGCAGTTTGGTCAAACTCATGCTGGTAGCTTCGAGAACACTGTCCAACCATCTTGTCCTCTGTCGTCCCCTTCTCCTTGTGCCCTCAATCTTTCCCAACATCAGGGTCTTTTCCAGGGAGTCTTCTCTTCTCATGAGGTGGCCTAAGTATTGGAGCCTCAGCTTCAGGATCTGTCCTTCCAGTGAGCACTCAGGGCTGATTTCCTTCAGAATGGAGAGGTTTGATCTTCTTGCAGTCCATGGGACTCTCAAGAGTCTCCTCAAGCACCATAATTCAAAAGCATCAATTCTTCGGCAATCAGCCTTCTTTATGGTCCAGCTCTCACTTCCATACATCACTACTGGGAAAACCATAGCTTTAACTATACAGACCTTTGTTGGTAAGGTGATGTCTCTACTAAGTAATACTAGTAAGACTTAATTATGTTCTGTCATGTCTGAGGCCACATTCCAAAATTATAATGGGGAAAAATTGGCACTCATCTGGCTTTTTGCAGTAGCGATGTTTATCTGGGCAAAGATCCTCTGTTAGGTTGACTTCCTGCTTCACCACAGTTAACCTGCTTTTAATTTTTTAATATCTGTGTGAGTGCTAATCTATTCACCAGTCTTAATCCTCTCTCTTTATGACTTTTGATGTAACTGCATATTGATCACAGTGAAACTTATTTCTGCGTAAAATGCTACAAGCAGTGCTATTTTTCTAGAAAAAGAGATGCTGAAACTCACCTGGTTCTCTTATAATGGTGATGGAGCCCACCTGAGAGGTGCTGGCTTGGGAGAGCGCATCTTTGTTTGAGACTCCGCCCTGCCATGTAGACCCAAAACCTTCCTGATTGCAGCACATGTGGAAAGCATTGAGGTGTTTCTCTGGCTTTTGTAAGTTGCCCACGACTCACTTCCTTAAAGCAGCATGCTCAGCACGCAAGCCTGGAACCATGCTGATTGTAATCAGTGCTGCCTGTGAGCAATGCAATGCAATACACAATTATAAAAACAATAAAGCTGTCACAATAAAAAAACCAAGTGGTTATGCTTTGTGTGAAGCATCCCATAAACGTGTGTGTGTGTAAGAGAGAGAGAGAGACAACACTATGCATTTCTATGTTCAGCTATAAAATGGGGCAGAGATTGACTTTTCTATAAGCTTCAGCATCACCTTGCTATGGACAGCTGTTTTTAAACCTGGTATCTTACTTATTTATTAAATTGGTATTGTCAACCTTTTCAGACCCAGGACCCTCTTTCTGCATTTCTTAACCTTTTACCATTTGCATGGTGGTTGTGCTGCACTTACAGTCCCCCTTGGATCAGGCCATGCTCCCCACTTGTGGGTCCCAACCCACCAGCTGAAGACCACTGCTCTAAGCCATTTCCCCCAGCTCAGCACCAACACTGGAGGTGAGCCAGGCTGGAGGGGAATGGCTTGATGCAACTACATGTGGCAAGGTGAGGGGCATCAGAGGTTTCACTTCCTCTTCTCCCGCGTGATCATTTTCATAAGAAATGTTCACTCCCTGCTTTATAGTGAAACAAGCAGATATAGGGCCTCTGCTCCATTGCAGAGCCTCTGCTCTTGCATGCAGAAGGCCCCAGATTCAATTCCTGGCAACTCCAGGCAGGGTCGGGAGAGAACTGTACTTGAAAGGGTTGGGAGAGCATGTCTTTAAGAAACAGGGTTTATTTTACACCTGGGTGTAGATGGAGGGAGTGCAGGGTTTGCATCTCAAGAGGGGCTTGTTCGCCACAGCAGTGCAGCATCACATTCCAAGACATCTCTATGCCTCTGTCTCAGCCTGCCTTCAGCCAGCTCACTAAGATGGTTCTGCCCTTCAGCCCTTGCAGGGAGTTTTGCCAGCTTCCTTTCCTGTTCCCAGAAGCAGCCCAAGCAACTCCTCCCCTTCTGTCTCCTGTTCCAAGCCTAGTTTTAAAAGGGCACATTTTTCCTGTGTGACATCACACCTTCCTCTCTCCTATCCTTGGCAACCCCTGTTTTGCACAGACCCAAGGTTCCTTTTTTTTAATGTGTAGATGTCTGGCCATTGTTTCATAATGCCTTGCATTCAACCAGCCCCGCCAGGCTAGTTTGCATAGGCTGAACCCAGGAATTTCTATGTTTGATGCAGAACGGCAATCAAAAGCATGGTAACTTTTCCATTTACTTAAAACAATTGGGACCTGCAACAAAGTGTTGAAGTGTGTGGAGTGATCCTGTTCAGGGTGTCAGCCAGCCATCAATGCCTTCTTCCTGAATGGTCCGTTTCATTTTGCTTCTCCCCTGGTTTTCTGTTTCCACTGTCCACCCCCTATGCAAAAAGTGATTTATGACAACAGAGTACACTTGGTCTTCATTTAGCTGTTCGTGGTTTCCCTACCATCAGTAGGGTTTCCCCTCTTTTCTAAAAACAGTTCTATACTTCTGCAAAGCTTGGATCCACACTAGAATACTGTAGTTTTGCTATTAGTATACTGTATATGATATTTTTAAAAAATGCAATTTTACAGCATGGTCCAGTGTCGGGGGACACAGGTGGCGCTGTGGGTAAAAGCCTCAGCGCCTAGGGCTTGCCGATCGAAAGGTCGGCGGTTCGAATCCCTGCGGCGGGGTGCGCTCCCGTCGTTCGGTCCCAGCGCCTGCCAACCTAGCATTTCGAAAGCACCCCCGGGTGCAAGTAGATAAATAGGGACCGCTTACAAGCGGGAAGGTAAACGGCGTTTCCGTGTGCGGCTCTGGCTTGCCAGAGCAGCGATGTCACGCTGGCCACGTGACCCGGAAGTGTCTCCGGACAGCGCTGGCCCCCGGCCTCTTGAGTGAGATGGGCGCACAACCCTAGAGTCTGGCAAGACTGGCCCGTACGGACAGGGGTACCTTTACCTTTACCTTTTACCAGTGTCTACTGAAAAAATCCTTTTCAGGGGTTTTTCTCCCAGATAAGGGGGTTAGGACTGCAAGCTTTCCTAATTTCTGTCATTTATATCTCTGGGTACTTTGATGTAGCAGACAAACACACTGCTGAAAATGGGGGGGGGGGGATAGAAAAAAGTGGAAATTCCCAGCAAACTAGTATAATTTGCACAGGGTAACCTCTGAGCAATTCCCAAAGATAAATTGGGAAAGTCCCCACTGTGGTTACTTTGTGGCTTGGCATCTTAAGTAATTTGGAAGGCAGCCTGGATACTGCTGACCTTGGTTACGAGCTGTTGGCATAAACAGCTGTCTAAGAAAAAAAATTATGCAATTTTTGTCGGTATGTCCACACATTGAAAAGAACTGGAAAGTGAAAGCAAAGTCCTCTGCCACCCCCTTCTCATTTCATTCTTATGACATTTCAATGTTCCATTAATTTGTCAAATGGGACTTACCATCTTCCTCCTGTCAGTGTGAGGTTGGACCTTAGTTTCTCATCTGTGACCCTCATCTCCCAGCTGTATATGGTGATGGGGAGCTAAAATGTGTCTGGTGGGTAGGAAGCAGGAGTTCACAATGATGATGCTCCAGTTCCACTGGTATTGGGCAGGGGAAGGTACAGTTGGAATGGAGTGGCAGACCACTATCTTGGGTGGAGGATTAGATGTTTGGTCTCTGTTCTTTGCT